GTATGCCAAGGACCAGGCCGGGCACTGGGTTAATGAAAAGGCACACAAGCCGGCCCCTCCCTCCTGGAGCCTTTTGATTATCTGCAGGGTGTGGAACAGGAAACGTGAGGGCTGGGAGTGATTCCTGAATGGTGGGTTTTATGAAGTGTGACTCCTCCCCAGTACATTCTGCCGTCATTCACTGTGTACCCCCCGTTGTGTGCCAGGTTCTATGCTGGCCCTAGAGATACACATGTCTGACAGAGGAAGCGGGCTGGAGGAAGGCGTGTGGAGGGGCACCATGGCAGGTGTGAGCCACTACTGTTCTGCATCCTAAACCGAACCCATTTCTTTTTCTAGATCTAAAATAGGCCCTGGTCCCAAGGAGGCTGTAGTTTGCACTTACTGTATGGTGATTTGCACAGGCTCAGGATAATCTGGAAGGGGTGATGGTTCAGTGGTAGAATTCTTGACTTTCCTGCCAAAGCCATGGGTTCAGTTCTCCGCCAGTGCAACTCAAGCACAACCACCACCCGCCTGTCCAGGCAGGCTTATGTGTTGCTATGATGCTAAATAGGTTTCGGCAGAGCTTCCAGACTAAGACAGACCTGGAAGAAAGGCCTGTCAATCTACTTCCGAAAACCAGCCACTGAGAACCCCATGGATCACAACGTCCCAATCTGGGGACTTGCCATGAGTCAGAGGCCGACTGGACAGCAGCTAACAAGGCTGGTCGGGGCCTCATCACTCTTTAATGGCCCTAAAAGGGGTCTCCAGCAGAGACAGCCCAAGGTCGGGGTTCAGAACTCTAACATGCTTAAACCTCAGGCTCTGGGCTCATTCTCCCCATCTGTAAAGTAGGTGTCATACCTGGTAATAAGGATACAGGTCAGTGAGATGCTGATCAGTGCTTTCTAAATGGCGGACGGTCCTGCAATGGTAGGCATGGTGTAACTGTCATAGTAGTAGACAGAGTAGTTATTACAGGCCAGGCACTGCTCAAGTGTATCTTGTCAAATAAACCTCACAAAAACCCTACAAAATGTGATTTATTTCCCTGAGATGAGGAAACTGATGCCCTGACAGGTCAGTTACTTTCCCAAGGTGTGATGTGGTTCAAACACTGCACTGGCTGGCTAACTCCTGAGTTCCCATGTCTAACCCACATGCTTACTGCCCACTCTAGAACAGGGGGCTCGATCCCAGTCCTAGCTGTGCTTTCCATGACCCCAGGGAAGTCCGTCTGTCCATCCGTAAAATGGGATGGAGGAGGAAGCAGTTTCGCGAATACTGATGTCTGAAGGGTTGGGGGCTCTGTTTTGTTCTGGTCCCCTCCCCACCATGGAAAGGTTTTGGAGCCATCCTGGAAGAGGAGGCTTAATGGAGAGAGGCTGTCTCCAGGAGCCAGAGAAGGTAATGATAGCAGTAATGAGGGAGCTGAGCAGAAAGGCTGCAGCGCAGAGGACACTGCCCTCCCACACACCACACACACTGCAGCGCGGCCCACTGCAGCTCCGCCAACCTGTGACTGTGATGCCCCCAGCTCGACCCTGCTTCTCGGGATTATTGATTGAGGTGATTCTTCCCCAGAGCCCTTAAGAAGACCATCTATGGTCAACAAATAGCTCCGGCAACATTCCCAGAGCACTTCCTATCTGCCAGGTGCTGTGCTGGCTACAGGGACCAATAGATCCAGTCAGTCCCCTTCTCAAGGAGTTCACAGTCTCCTGAGGAAGACAGACATGTAAACAGCTAATGCTAATGCAAGTACACATGAATATTCAGTAGGTAGGAACAGACTTCGTGCTCTGGGAGCAAAGAGGAGGGAGCATTTACCGGAAACCTTGAAAGGGGGATGTAGGAGGATAGGGGAAGGGCATTTCCACTGAAGGAACAGTGTGAGCAAAGGCATGGAAGTGTGAAGCCCAGGGCCTGTTCTCTGAAGGGCAAACAGCCCAGAGAGGCCAGTCCTCAGGGAGGCAGGGAGAGATGAGTTGAAAAAGGAAGTTTGAGAACAGACTATGGACGGCCTTGAATGCCAGGGTAAGGCAAGAGATGTTCTGAAAGAGGAGGTATGTGAGCCCTGAGGCCTAGGACACAGGCAGATTAAGGTGGTGCGGGGACTTCCACGGAGAGTGGAGGTGACCTGTGGTCACCCTTCAAACAGGAAGCATTCACCCAGGAGCCTTCTCAGCTTGACAGTTCCAGGTCTGCCATCCTTCCTTTCCCCCAGCTAGCCCCCTAACTGGATCCAGATGGTCATTCCTATCTTAGGTTGGTGTGGATACTGGGGGAGGGGTAGCTCTGAGCCCTACCAATCCTGCCCAGAGCCCTCCATAACAGGAACTTCTTCCAGGGCCCTGCTGTGAGCCTCTGAGCCTAGAAGGAAGTGTTAGTCTTCAGTGGAGATTTCCCATCTGCCTGTGGTTGATAGGGTAACACTGGCAGGGGAGGCAAGGGCACAGACCAGAGAGGCTGTTCCACTGAGTGAAAGAAACAAGGTGATGTGTGTGTCAGGGGGCTCCTCTGGAGACATTGTGGTAGAAGACAAGACTGACAGGAAGACTCCAGAGGAGTCAGAGACGGAGCTGGCTTATCTTTCCAGGTACCTGGCCCTCCTCAGGGCCCTACTTCTGCAGCTGCCCAGAGCAAGGTTAGGATGATGCAGGCCACAAGGAGGGGAGCTACGACTCTCTGGTCAACCCTAGGCCTGAGTACTGTGCCCATGACCTCCACAGGCTATTAAAAAAGGCTTGGGGCAGCTGGAGGTAGCAGGTGCAAGCTAGGTTGCTGGTCTCAGATTGTGGGTAGCCAGCATGTGAAACAAAGTCTATAAGTATTCCTCATTCATTCAATTTAAATATTTATTAAGCAAATACCACTATATTAGGCATTGTGTTTACAGAAACTATGGAGACAAATATGGTCTCTGCCCTCAAGGAGTTTCCAGTGCAGTGGGAGAGTCAAACAATACATAACTACAAATGTGCTATTAAGGAAAAGAACAGGGTATTCCAAGGGAAATTAACAGGGACTTTCTAATTTAGGTCAAATGGCAGCTAAAGGTTCTCTGAGAAAGAGACATTTAAACGGAGACTTGAAGGATGAGTTAGCCAGTTTAAGGGGGTGGGGAGAGGCATTCCAAGGAGAGGAAAGTATGTGCCAAGTCCTTGGGGTATGAGAAAAATTATGGCACAAGGGAGGAAGTGAAAATGGCCAGGGTGGCTGTAGTATAGCAAATACGTAAGAAAGAAGTAGGATCCAAACGATATAGGATCTTGTAGACCATGGAAAAGTATGTGTTTTATCCGAAATGCAATGCAAAGTCATTGAAAACTGTCAAATTAAATGCAATATGCATGTTAGTCCTTCTGAAATTGTGGCAGGCCCTGAGAAAGAAACTTAGACTGTTTATTCATCCATACTTACAGCAGTTGTTTAAAGAGCACCCACTAGCCCTGTGCTGTTATTACAGGCTGACAAAGATGGTAGAGGGATGTCTAAGGCACAGCCCTCCCCAGGAGCCTGACCCAGAAGAAGAAATTAGATAACTACAGGGATTGAATCAAGAAGTAATGAAATTTATTCATCCAACAAATGTATACTGTACACCTAATCTATTCCACGCCCTGTGCTGGCTGCTGGCGGCTGCCCTTCAAGGATCACACACTCTACATACGGGTCACAGAAGAAGTACAAACATGCTCAAAGAATTTTGAGCGGGTTAGAATCACTTTCAGCTGTGATATCTGGAAAGCTTTTATAAAACATTCATTTGCTCATTCAATAAATCAGTAAACATCTAGTGGGCAGATGCTCTGCACCAGGAACCATGCTAGCTACTGATGTCAAGGACCGTAGAGTTCCAGAGAAGAGACACATGTACCAGAAAAAAAAAAAAGCACTAAAATATTAGGTGCTAAAACAGAGGACAGCAAGCTTTCCCCAAATAAGTGCTGAGGAAGGCTAATTCATTAATGGAAGGCAGATTCTCCCAAAAAGGCACAGCCCCCACCTTCTTGAGTGGATTTGTCTATATTCCCTGTGGCCTGATTTTTATCTGCTGTCAGCCTTCTTGCCAGCCGCAGCAGGGCAAACCATTGCCCCTCCCGATCCAGCAGATCCCTATTTTCTTTGTCTATTTTGGCATCCTTTAAAAAGCCAAAAGACTCCAAGATTTAAGCCCGACTTCTCCATAAGCCTTTTGTGTGTGATCTCAGAAAATTACTTATCTTCCCTGAGCCTCCCTTTTCCCATTTGTGCAATGAAGATCTTGGATCACATCTAAGGCTTAACTCCAGCCAGGACGATATTCACACTCCCTTGCACACCGAGCTCTGGTGGGCCTTCCTGCCTTCTTCATGGCCGCATTCACACACCCCCCACCCACACACACACATACACATCCCATCACCACCTCACCACCTAGCAAACATACTCAGTTCAAATATCTTCCAGCAAGTCTCCCTTGATTATGCACACACACTACACACACAATATTTTGGTCTGTCCTTCCTTTTTGCTACCACTACCTTGTTATAAACCAAAAAAACCTTTAGACTACAGAATGAAAAGGGCAAGGGAGATAGAAAGACGGGTTTGAGCCATAGCCACTCATCTCACTTAACTGAGTCTCAGTTTCTCACTTGTAACATGCGAAAAAAATGCCTAATATGTAACCAGTTTATAGAGATTAAAAACAATGTATGTCAAGTGTTTGACACCCAAGAAACGTTCAATAAATAGCGGTTGTTCCACACCTCTTAGGAGCCCTCGTTGTACTGAATTACAAAGAGCTCTTTGTCGCTCACCCACGCTAAACTGCGAGCTGCCTGAGGGAATCCCGTCTGCAGCCTCCCAAAGTGGGCGGCACCAAACCTAGGCCCAGCAGCTGCAGAGGGAGGGGGCAAGGCTCGCCGGGCCCAAGGCACGTGGCTCCAATTCCCGGGGGAAGGCCAAGCTGAGCGGACCCAACCTCCTGGAAGTGACGCCAAGGAGCTAGCGGCGCCGCAGCAGGGCAAACTGGAGCCGAGCGCGCGCAGCCATGGCGGAAGCGGAAGGGAGTTCTCCGCTTCTGTTGCCGCTGCCGCTACTCCCGCCCGGAATGGCGGAAGTGGAGGCGCCGACGGCGGCCGAGACGGACATGAAGCAATTCCGCAGCTCCGGTGGTGGCGCCATGGACATGGAGCGGAGCCGTTTCCCCTACTGCGTTGTGTGGACGCCCATCCCGGTGCTCACGTGAGTCTCTTCCGACGTCAGCCGGGGACGAGGAGGGCCCAGAGAAAGCCGGGGCCCGCACGGCGTCTTCGGGAGGCCTCCTGCCCCGACGCGTAGCTGGCCTGCCCGGGAGCTCGGCCCGCACGTCTCGCCCACGGCGCCAGTTTCAGCTAACAGATGGGAAACGCTTCCCGCCCTCATACACTACACCTGGTCTAGTCGGAGAGAAAGATCATTGTAGACCGGCAGGAAAGGGTCTGTGGCTGGGAAGCTCAGGAGCTATGGACGTACAGATAGGAGCCCTTTACCACGTCTGAGGAGACCTCTTCATTCATTCATTGGTTTTTCCCTTCACTGAACAAGTGTTACTGATCATTTATTGTATGTAAGACATCTGCTGGGTCTGGAAGTGAGAGTAGGAGTTTGGCTGGGACCTCACAGGTTCCAAATGTCAACATCTGGGAGCCCAACCTTTTGCTTCACAGATGAAGCTGGAAATCACACACCATCTCAGTTGCAAAGCGGATTTAGGGCTTGGTGTGTTTGCTTCCGAGGCCACCTGTCTTCCAGGTGTCTGCCTCCCAGGCCAAGGTTCTTTCTGTGGCACCAGCCTGTGTCGGAAGAGAAAGCAGATGCTTAGGTACTGTTGCCCCCTTTGAGCTAGGAGCTTCAGCTAGGAGCTACTTGGTTTGCATTCCTGCTTCATCCTTGACAGCTGATGGCGGTAACCACTCCTTACAGTGCTGGACAGTTTGCCAACCTGTTTCACACCCATTTTCTATTAATCTCACAGCCACTCCCTGATGAAGCTGAGATTTGGGTGTCATTGTTTTAAGTGGGTTCACAAGACTCATAAAGGCATCCAAAATTCAGTCTTCTGACTCATAATTTGCAATCTTTTGACTAAATCTCATCCCCTATCATATCAAGGTGAGTAAGGCATTTGGCTGCTAACCAGAAGGTCAGTGGTTCAAACCCACCAGTTGCTCCTTGGAAGGAAGATGAGGCAATCTACTTCAGTAAAGATTTACAGCTTTGGAAACCCAGTGGGAGTCGCTATGAGTTGGATTCGACTCAATGGCAGTGAGTTTGGCTTTTGGTTTATCAAAAGGTGGTGCGAGAAGGGATTTTTTACCTTATGTGCTGCTGATCCTTAAATCACGTTAATTATTGTATTAAGTTAAAATACATACTGGCTTTCAAATGCTTACGGATTTGCTTAAGAGCATCCAAGTCTGAGTCCTTTCAAAATAAAAATTTTTCAAGTGTGTTCATTAATTTATTCAGTGTTCTTTTAACACATTTGCTAAGTGACTCCTATGTGCCTAGAATAGTTCTAGGAAATGAAACTCTGCAGGAATGAATAAAATATGGCCCTTACTCTCAAGAGTTTAAGTCTTGGTGGAACAAAGTAGACAGTAAACAAGTACACTAGTAAGAGAACTTTAGTGATTTGTGTTATGAAGAAAATTAAATATTATGATAGAAACTGAAAGGGATAGTCAGGAAAGTATCAGTTTTGCTAAAAGACTGTCCTGTTAGCTTAACATCTCTTTGGTCTTTCCCCATTCTCAAAAGCACCATCTGTGGAGTGGTCCTCTGCTATATGGTAGCAACGTGAGGCAAGGTGGAAGCCCCAGGATGCCCAGCCAGCGTGACCAGAAGTTCACGCCCCATTTCTATTCAGTTCTCTGTGCAGGTGTGGATGAGACACTCTTGTTCTCCAGACACATGCAACACTTTGCTGCTGCAGAGTTTTCTGCCTGCTGATATTCTGTCCTTTCACAGGGTCAGAGTTAAAAGCCATCACCTCTATGAAGTCCTTTGCTGCCCCTCACAATGGCTTTTTTTTTTTTTTTTAAGTTGTGATTTGAGTGAAAGTTTACATTGTTGTTGTTAGGTGCCGTCGAGTCGGCCCTGACTCATAGCCACCTCTCCTTGGGTTTCCGAGACGGTTTCACTACGGAAGTAGACTGCCCCACCTTCCTTCCAAGGAGTGGCTAGTGGGTTTGAACCGCCAGCCTCCTGGTTAGCAGTCAAGTGCCTTAGGCACTGCGCTACCAGAGCTCCCGAAAGTTTACATAGCAGAAAGTTTACATAGCAAATTGATTTTCCGTGCAGCAGTTCCTACACATTTTGTTTCATGACACTGACTGCAATTCCCCACAGTGTAACAGCTCTCTTTTCACTTCCTCCCCATAGTTACCTCTTTCCTCACAATGGCTTCTTGAGCAGCACCTCTGTAGGTTTTGCCTCCACCTCCCTAGCAGGGGACTTGGGTTCTGCCAATGCATCCTCTTGGCCTTGAGACCAGGCTTGGCCCTGTGAGTCCTCTTCAAACAGGAGCCAGGTCTTCAGCCCCCAGACTCTGCCGACAGAATAGGGTTCCTGTGTGTTTTGCATATTAGACTCCATCTGAGATACGGTTTTTTAAAAATGCCAATGGCTAAAAAAAAAACCGGACCATTTGGGTCCTGGAATATATCGTGCTTTTTTCCTGTTCTCTCCCCCTGCAGATACTGTTTCCTTGTCATTTCCTCAAGCACGCCTTGCCTGAACTCCAACCAACACCAACACCAACACCACAGATAGTGTAAATGCCCTCCCTGATTTTTTCACTTTTTTCTTCTTGATGTATAATTTACAGAGTACGTAAATCTTCTGCATATGTGTACACCCATGCAGCTACCACCCAGAGGGCATCGTGCATCCCTCCCAGTCAGGTCCACCGCAGAGATAACCCCGCCTCTGACCTCTAGCACCATAGATTAGTGTCGCCTTTTCTTGAACTTCACATAAACCTTATGTACCCATGTGAAGTTTCTCTTGCTCAGTGTTAATGTCTGAGAGCCCTAGCTGTGTGCAGCAGGAATTTGTTCTTTTTCATTGTTGTGTAGTATTTCACTGTCTGACTATACTACAATTTATTTATTCATTTTACTGTTGTTGGACATTTGGATTATTTCTAGTTACTTTTTTTAAATCATCTTTACTGAGATAATTTACATATACATATTTTAAGTTCATTGAGTTTAACAAATGTCATTTCCTGCTATTTTGAATAAAGGTGCTATGAGCGTTTCTTATAAGCTCCAGTAGTTCAGTGGATTAAGAATTTGACTGGTAACCAGAAGGTCAGTGGTTAAAACCCACCAGCTGCTCTGCAGAAGGAAGATAAAGCAATCTCCTTCCATAAAGATTTACAGCCTTGGAAACCCAATGGGGATCACTATGAGTCGGGATCGACTCCATGGCAGTGGGTTTGGTTTTTGATTTGGAGCATTCTTGCACATGGCTTTGAGAGACACACACGCTCAAGTCTGTTGGTTGTATACTCAGAAGTGGCATTGCTGAGGATGGAGTATATTGCCAAACTGTTTTTCTAAACTGATGGAAACAATTTATACTCCCTCCAGCAGTGAAAGAAAGCTCCCATTGCCATTCATGTTCATCTCCTCTTCGTGTTATCGGCCCTTTTAGTTGTAGCTGTCCCAGTGGGAGTGTGGTGGTGTCTCGTTGTGCTGTTAATTACTAATTGCCACTCTTCTGTGCTTCTCCAGCCCTCCTGGGCCACTCTAATCACAGCACTCACCACACAAATTACATTCCTATGGAGTATCTCCAGTGTCTATCTGGCAGAAAGACCCCCTAAATTCTGCCCCTTCCCTTCTTTTCTCTCACAGGTGGTTTTTCCCCATCATTGGCCACATGGGCATCTGCACATCCACAGGAGTCATTCGGGACTTCGCTGGCCCCTACTTTGTCTCGGTGAGTCCCCTTTACCTGCTCTCGTGGGTCCCAGTGGAAGGCTGACCTGTCTTGCCTACAGGCAGGCTTCCTGTCTCCTCAGACCCCAGAGAATGCAGATAACACTCAGCCCCTCTGCACTCACCAGTGTTTGACCCCTCTCCCCCTTCTCTTGCCTCCAGGACAGGCCGGGAGGGCAGTGTGGCCAGAAGGATTCTTAAGTAACTGACCCAGCCCTTTGCCCCCACCCTTGGGGTCCTGAGACATGGGTAGGGGTTAGAGGCAAGAGTGGAGAGTCAGCCCATCCAGGAACTACATCTCTGGACCTTCAGAAGGTGGGAGTCACAGGTGGGGGGAAGGGAAGGTTGACTGGTTCCCTGGGTACAGCCATGGAGAAAAAAGGGGTGGAGCTTCTAGGATGAACCAGCTTGTGTTCCCAGGGATGTAACCAAGATGGTTAGTGGGCTTGCTCCAGATAGGCTGCATCATCCTATTGATTTCCAGGTTGCCATTTGATCATTTGAGTCTGGCATAAAGGGGTGTGGTGGCACCCATCTGTTTATATTAATAGTCATTTTGTTCATAACAGTGTCTGTCACTTTGCCACTTAAAAAATACTTTCATGCCCGTTGCTTTCCTTGCCTTACATTTTTCTGATAATTGGATTGCACTGCATTCAGGGCACTGCTTTCCTAGGCAGCCTGTTCATCTTTGACCATCTCTGTCAGCAAGATCTTCCTGATTCTGCATCCTGAATCTGTCTCCACATAGCTGCTGCCTCCCCAGATCTTACTATGGCAAATCTAGGACTTGGCTGAAGTGTCTTCCTCGTAGGAAGTCTCTAGACCCAGCACCCCCCGTTATACTCCGAAGGCAGTCACATGGCTCATGTTCCCCCAGGCGCAGAGGTGGGCTCCATTTGGCCACCATTGTTGGGTTGTGTGGTCAGAGGACTGGTATCGTGTATACCACAAAGGAAATTGCCTCCTCTTGATCAGATGCTTGACCACAAAACTTGGAGACTGAGTGCCACGCAGAGCATCAGTTCCACCTGGAACCCAGAGCTCAGTCTCTGCTCTCCCAATGCACTTCTCTGTGGCTGTATTCCCACGGGAAAGCTGCCTCCAGCCCTTCAAATAGGATGCCATCCCATAGTAAGACCTATGCCAATGGCCCACTTCTGAGTCACTATACTTCAGCCACTGACCAGGGCAGTCCTCCAGGATGGGTGCAAGTTCCCCACTGACCTGTGTTCTTGTCCCTCACAGGAAGACAACATGGCCTTTGGGAAGCCTGCCAAGTAAGTGATGAACACCTGTGTGACTGGCCCTGGGGCCAGGTTCCTCCTGCCTGGAGCAGCAGGCCAGACCTTCTGAGGCCCAGCAGGAGCCAGCACTCAGAGGACAGGTGTGGAGGGGAGAAACAGCCAGGATCCACCAAAGCATAGCCCCTACCATGTGCCAGGCCCTGGGCTAGCTTTTCCATCTACAGACCATCTAGGGCTTGCCCCAGCTCTGCAAGGTCATGTTTTGATTCCATTGGAAGGGCATGGAAAGGGGAGTGACTTGGTAAGGACAGCAGTTAGGAAGTGATAGAGCTGGAACCCACACCTCGGTCTGTCTAACTCCAAAACTTAGACTCTCTCCTGTTCCTCAAAAGGATTAACAAACCATTTAGGGTATAAGGGAGGCATTGTTTGGGACTCTCTGCTGGAAGGTTCTTGTTGGAGAGGACAAAAACAGTTGAGGTCCCTAGGATCTATTGCTGGTTTGCTTTGGGATTTTTGGTTGTTTTTTTTCTTGGGGAACCCCCTCAGCTGTAGGCCTGGTGACAATGCCTCAGTTATCAGTGTGCTCAGAACAGCATCACATATTCTTTACCTGTCGCTGCACTTAGGAGGGATAGATGCAAGTGCCATCCCAGGACCTAAGGAGTTGTGCCTGTATAGTAGAGGCAGCCTGGAGTGGGCTCCCCTATTCCTGCTCTCACTTCCTCAGGCAGGTGGAAATGTGATCCATGGGCCTCTGAGCCAGGTATTTGCTGCCAGGCTGCTTTTTTTTGTTTTGTTCATTTTTATTGTGATTTGTATGAACGTTTGCAGAGCAAATTCATTTTCCATACAGTAGTTCATACACATTTTGTTTCATGGTATTCACTGCAGTTCACCCACAATGTAACAGCTCTCTTCCCACTTCCTCTTCATGGTTACCTCTTCTTGTGTCCTTTCCTATGCATTCCTGCCCCCAAGCTGGCTCCCTGTGCAAACACTGCCCTTCTGTTCTCCCACAATTGATTGTTCTAAGGAGTGTATCTAAAAAACCCAAAACCAAACTCACTGCTGTTGAGTCGTTTCTGACTCATAGTGATCCCTCCTTGAAGTAGATTGGTTAGTCTTCCTTCTGAGGAGTGGCTGGTGGGTTTGAACCACCAGCCTTCTGGTTAGCAGTCAGATGCCTTAGGCACTGTGCAACCAGAGCTCTTCAAGGAGTGTATCTAAGTGATGTAAATGTTCACCCCATATGTCTGTCTGTTATTTGATTGGAAGCCAAAGAAGTGAGTTCATTTCCAGACCTATAGGGGCCATAGTCTCAAGGGTCTCACCAGGCTCTCTCAGACCAGTAAACCTGGTCTCTTTTTATGATTTTGAGTTTTGTTCCACATTGTTCTCCCACTCTATCCAGGTTCTCCTGCACTGATCCCTTTCCAAGTGGTTGACAGCGGTAGCTGGGCACCATCTAGTTCTTCTGGTCTCATTGTCATATAGGCTGAGGATCACGTGGTCTGCTAGTCCCTTGGACTAATTGTTTCCATGTGTCTTTGGTTTTCTTCATTCTTCTTTGCTCTGGACAAGGAGAGACCCACTGTTGCATCTAGCTGGCCACTTGCAAGCTTTTAAGACCCCAGTCGCTACTCACCAAAGTAGGATGTAGAACAATATTGTTGTGTAGTATGTTATGCCAGTTGAACTTCATGTCCCCTGCGACCATGGTCCTGAGCTGATAGGTCCAGCTACTCGCTCCCTCAGGGTGGTTGGCTGTGGCCAAGAAGTTACCGTAACTTTGCTCCTTGTTAGCTCTGTTATATATTTGGACATTCTTTTTTTATTATTTATTCATTATTGTGACTTGGGTGAAAATTGACAGAGCAAATTCACTTTCCATACAGCAGTTCACACATACCTTGTCTCATGACATTGACTATAATTTACCACAGTGCAATATCTCCCCTCCCACTTCTTCCCGATAGTTACCTCCATGTAATCCTGCCCCCTGAGCTGTCTCCCTGTGCATAAACAGCCCTTCTTTCTCCCATGATTGTTCTCTCCAAGGAGTGTATCTACCTCAGGTAAATGCTCAACT